ACCCAACAGCACAACAGACCCAACAAAACCCAACAGCACAACAGACCCAACAAAAACAACAGCACAACGAACACAACAAAACCCAACACAGCACAGCAAAATCCAACAAAACCCACAATAGACCCAACAAAACCCAACAGCACAACAGACCCAACAGCACAACAGACCCAACAAAACCCAACAGCACAACAGACCCAACAAAAACAACAGCACAACGAACACAACAAAACCCAACACAGCACAGCAAAATCCAACAAAACCCACAATAGACCCAACAAAACCCAACAGCACAACAGACCCAACAGCACAACAGACCCAACAAAACCCAACAGCACAACAGACCCAACAAAAACAACAGCACAACGAACACAACAAAACCCAACACAGCACAGCAAAATCCAACAAAACCCACAATAGACCCAACAAAACCCAACAGCACAACAGACCCAACAGCACAACAGACCCAACAAAACCCAACAGCACAACAGACCCAACAAAAACAACAGCACAACGAACACAACAAAACCCAACACAGCACAGCAAAATCCAACAAAACCCACAATAGACCCAACAAAACCCAACAGCACAACAGACCCAACAGCACAACAGACCCAACAAAACCCAACAGCACAACAGACCCAACAAAAACAACAGCACAACGAACACAACAAAACCCAACACAGCACAGCAAAATCCAACAAAACCCACAATAGACCCAACAAAACCCAACAGCACAACAGACCCAACAGCACAACAGACCCAACAGCACAACAGACCCAACAGCACAACAGACCGAGCAAAACCAAACAGCACAGCAAAGCCCAAGAAACCCAACAAAACCCAACAGCACAACTGAGCAGTAACTATTGCTTTTCCAAAAAAAGTGGCTGAAAATCAGACGGAAGTAAATTATTTATGCAAATTATATTTATAAATAAACACGTGTATTAGTTGTATTTATAAATAAAACTTTTTCAATACTGGAATTATACTAAAACAATTAGTCGCCTCAGGCTCGGTGATTAGAAGCCTATATTCACTTCGCCTTCGGATGAGTGAATATAGTTATGCTTCTAATCACCTAGCCTTCGACGACTAACTGTTAAATCGAGTGAGACGCCAACAAAATCTTGATATTTACCCATAACATATACATGGCAGTACCGTAATATAATTATGCATAAACTTGTGGTTAGAGCTCGACAACTGGTCTCTGTAGCTCAGTTGGTTAGAGCGCGGCACCGGAATCGCTGGGCTGAAAGCCCTGCAAATTAATCTGGGACAACAAACGTATATTAGATTATGCAGATTTTTTTTAAATTAGAATTTTTTCATTTCAAATACTGTATTGAAACTTGTATAGTTATATAATCGTTCGGGCAATGGAATGTACTGTAGGTTAGTATAATATCTTTTGTATCCAAATGCGGAGTAAAAAATCCGGCATTGTGTTAAAAAATAGTGTTTGTGTTCTTAGTTATATAATGTATCGAAACATACAGGGTATTATCACAAAGTTTCAAAGAAAATAACAAAAAACTATTTGCATGACCGTTTGAACAGCTGCCTATAGCTACAAATGCGCACTTCATGCGTTTTTAACTTGTTTGCAGTCCTGCCGTCCAACATTAAATTTCATTATTAAGTGATAAACCCATTCCTACTCGTAGTTTGCGACTGGGAGTAAAAGTTCCTTTTATTCCCAGTTCTTACTCTGGGAGTAAAGGTACTACGGTCTGGTATTATTATTATTAATTATTGAATAACAACTTTCCACAGTCCAGCAGTTACCAGTATTTTTATTATTACTGTACAAGTGTGTAAATGTCATGCCCACAGGCTTACTTAACACCCCCATTCCAACTTTCTCAACCTTTTTAACATGTGCACCACTTGTAGGCAACAAGATATATGCATTTAAGCTGACTTATTAAAAATTCCTTATTTATCAGTATTATTTCCAAAGGCTTTTTAAAACTACAGTATGTTATTTGTGATGTTACTC